AAAGTCTCAAAAGCCTAGTGGTTCTCCTTCTTAAATCTTTGCTATATGTACACTTTCCTTCAGGGGAAATTCTGTTAAAGTAAAAAAAAATGTTCCTAGTTTTAAAAAAATGAGAAAGACCAGAAGTATGCTTAATTACACTGTCAAAAATCATATTTAAAAAAATACTAGTATTTCCAAAATGTCTAAACATTATGAGTTCAGATTTCCATCTACAGCCCAGAGTACATTGTCAAGGACATAAAATATAATTCATTTTTGTTGTGATTCACAATATCATAACGCACTCTGGTTATGTTTGAAAGTGAGAATTCTGTTCATCCACCTCCTGACAGAGCTGCATGGTCCTCAAGGGATGTATGATAGCCAGCATGACAAAACCAACACACATTCTTTTGTTTCTCTTCCGTTGTGTTTTATTATCCATATTTTGTCCAGGTGCATTGGGGTAGAAAACTTCAAGGACATGTAGAACACAATTTCTCACAAAGACTTTTTTCAATATTACTTTTCTGTGAGCATCACCCTGGCCTTGCTCAGCCTGGAAAGGACTCTTATTCCAGGAAAAAAAAATGCCACTAGTCCCAGTCTTAGCAAAAAGTTGAGACAGAGAATAAGGTACAGAGAAAAAGAGATATTTGATCATTTAATTCTTTTCAACCAAACTTAATTCCAAATCCCTCTGATTATAGCTCTGTCACATACTAATCAAAGTAGAAACACCTTTACTGAACTTCCACTGTTCTTTATAAAAAAAAATAATATGTTTTTTATTGATTTCAGAGAGGAAAGGAGAAGTAGAAAGAAATGGAAACATCAATGATGAGAAAGAATCATTGTTTGGCTGTCTCCTGCATGCCCCCTACTGGGGATCGAACCCACAAACAGGGCATGTGCCCTGACTGGGAATCAAACTGTCACTTCCAGGTTCATAGGTCAAAGCTCAACTACTGAGCCTTGCTGGCCACACCCACTGTTCTTATTTCTCAGGTAATTGACACTCTTTATCTCCTCCTTCTGTTCATGGAGGGTGTACATGTTGATGTTATTAAGTAATTCAAATAAATATTATGCAGAGAAATTACTTATGAGTGCACCAAAGACGAGAGTATTTTCTGTATGAAAAACCCCCAAAGCTAATAGTTTTGAACAAATTCAATAAAATGAATGACTTAAGAAATGTTATTATAGTACATGCGTGCGAGAAACTGTATAAAAATAACATAAAACTTCAAGGATGCTATCATCAGACCACTTCACATGTTTCTACACCACTTTAATGAAAATAAAAATCGTATATGATGCGTTACAGGCAGGATATATATTTTTAAAAGACTCATGATGTTAAAATAAATAAAAAAATAAATTTTCCACCAGAATACATAAATATATATATATATATATCATTCTTATATAAGATTGGCCCAATACTGTAGCATTATATCATATTAGTTTAGTCACAACATTTAAGTTATGAGTGCATGATTTTTAACTGATTTTTATTAACTCAATACCAGCCCTGGTTTTGGCAGATGAGAGCTTCCAGAGACTTTGTAGACATTGCCATTAAGTTCTTTTGTAAGAGACGATGTCACTGAAAGGTCTATATTACTTTTACATCTGTTCTGGCTTTTCCTAGTTATGTAATCTTGGCCAATTATCTTCATAAATAAGAGATGTTCAGCCCTAGCTTGTTTTGCTCAGTGGATAGAATGGCAGCCTGTGGACTGAACAGCCCCGGGTTTGATTCCAGTCAGGGTCACATGACCAGGTTGCAGGCTCGATCCCCAGGGCGGGCATGTAGGAGGCAGCCAATCAATGATTCTTTCTCATCACTGATGTTTCTATCTCTCGTTCCTTCTCCCTTCCTCTCTGAAAGTAATAAAAAAATATATATACTACATATAAAAAAAAAGAGATGTCAAATTACTTAACAGAGGTTGTGTTAGTAAAGTGCATAACACAGTGCCTGGCACATAGAATTACATAGATGGTAGCTATTACTATTATGGGAAAATTTAAGGAATAGTGATTTGCCTTTCTTGTGTTATCTCTTGCCAAATAAATTGCTTATAAGAGGCTCCAGTTTATTTAATAATTATTACTCAAAAAGATTAATATGAACAGAAACAGCCACGGTATGTTCTGAATTCTGTGTCTATAAAGGTGAAGAAGATAGCCTTGCTTTTATGGATATTACATTCCAGTAATACTGATAATTGCTATGAGAAATAAAGCAGGGAAAATGCAGTAAAATCCAGTGGCAAGGCTGACAAATGGTTGAGGTGGCTTGACGTTTTAAGGAGAACGTTCAAGAAGAATTGAGGAGCCGTCTTCAAAGATTCCAAGCTATGCAGTAGGGTAAAAACTGTTTATCAAGGAGCCAGGCAGAGGAAACAGTGAGATGGTGAATGCTTGACATATTTGATGAGCAACAAGAAAATCATTGTGATGGCTCTAGAGTACAGAAAGCTAAAAGATGAAATCAGAAAGTTAGGAAAGATTAAAAATGGCCTTGTAGGCCACATAAGAATTTGGATTTTACTTAATAAAATAAACCGCTGAAACAGGGAAATAATGTAGCCTTATTTATGTTATTAAAATATAATTCTAACTGCTATGTGATAGCCTACAAGTGGTTATCACATAGCAGTTAGAAATTGTTTCTACAGAAACGGAGAGAGATCAGCAGGCAATAATAGAACTTTTTTTCTCTCTCTCTTAATATCTTCACACACTCACATACACACATCATTAACAAAGAAGCAGTTTTCTATATGCATCTTTCAGGAAAAAAAAATAACTAATTTATAATTCAGGTGGCAACATGTTGTCACTTGATTTATTTATATAGCATATGTTTAGTAATCTAATTTCAGACTCCAGTAACGATGTGATATTTTTATATACTTGTCTATGCAATCAACGGCACAATGCATGTGTTATTTATAACATATGGCTTAATACTAAAGCAATGATTTGCCTGTTTTTACTTATAAATATTTGTAATAACCAGGGGAAAATGCAAAGTAATATGATGTCATTTTATATTTTTTTCTTTGAGTATCATGAATGATAAATGGATAAATAGTCTAAGCACTGAAATAAGGTCTTTTTAAAATGGGAGGGTTTTTTTTTGTTTTGTTTTGTTTTTTGCTGTATTTGATTAATAGTTTCCAAATTAGAATTTATAGCTTTCAGGGTTGGGTGTTCAATTTCTGGTCAAGGACTGATACCTGGGTTGCAGGATTGATCCCTGGCCTCTGTCAGGGAGGCAACCAATCCATGTGTCCCTCTCCCATGATTAACTTCTGTGAATGTGGGTACCTGTGTGTGTGTGTGTGTGTGTGTGTGTGTGTGTGTGTGTGTGTATAAGCATATATTTAAGACAATAGAGGAAATTGTAAATAGGGAAGGAAATATCAATTTGAGGAACATGAGCTGAGCAGAAGCTCATCAAAACAAGGTAAGCAAAATGAAAGTGTCTCCTCAGAACTCACATTGTGGGGTGAAAATTCACCAATTTAAATATGCAGTTCTCATGAATCATATCCATAGTTCTAGCAACTTTAAGTCTCTAATTGTGTAAGTGCTGCCTTTATTTTCTTTTCTGGGGAAAAAAGGCAATTAATAAAAATAAAAATGTTTTAAACGGTAAAAATATTAGTGATAAATTACTTTTTTTCTTCAAATTGTATTTGTTTATGATTTACTTAGAAAGAAAACAATAATAAATATAGCTGTTGAAGGGGTGGCTAGTAGCTCATTACCTTTCTTCTCCATTACAGTCCCTAGCCATGTAATTAAAATAGCTTACCAAGGCTTAGCTTTAAACGTATAAATAAAATGGAATTAATGGTATTAACATTATTAAGGTAAAAGACTAATATGATATTTCCCTCTTTGGGTATAACTGTATTAAATTATAACTTAGCAGGGACTGGGAATGTTTATCTATATTTTTAAGATGTTTTCTAAAAGATAGATATAACTGCTGAGTCTATAAGAGAAACCAATTGCCAAGAAGCAATATGTCATTTAAAAGTCATGAATATACTCTACAGTTGTTTCACAATTTAATCGCTTCCAGCCTAGAAGGACTGCACTGACACCTGAAAACTCAGAAATTGCCTCTTGTTTACTATAGAAATCTCTAACTGACATCTGTCAAGTTCTTGCAGGAAGCTTCATGCTAGATTTTTACATTTTTAATGTTTATTGTATCTTTCAGAACACATAAAGGAACCAATGGTTATGAATGTGCTATAGTAATCATTGTTATAAAAATGGCATTGGACAAAAAAATGTAAATATTCATGAAAATCCTTATTTCCCTGAGGTTTGGTTAGGAAAAGATGCTGAGAGAAATAGGTCACCGAAGGAGGGAACTATAGCACCGTATAGAACATCACAGGAGTTATAAACAATGGCAGTTGACATTAATAATTAAGTGAGAAAAATTCCCTATGGAGGTTGAGATGAGCTACAGGCACGTGTGTAAAGTCACTTGGCTAATTGATCATTAGTTATGTTCTAGATTAGAGGAAGATATATTAATGTAACTGGTTTCTCTACCATATTTTTCTAGTCCAATAATTTGTCTAATGTAATAAATATAGCTCTTATACATTCCCGAGGGGCAGGGAATCATCTCCATTAGAGCCTGATGTTTTTATTATGTGCAAGCAAGTATTCAATATAAATAAATGTGATAGGGAAATTTTATCACTTCTCTCAAGTTCTTTGTGGTACACCTTAAATTAATTCTAATAGAAATTGTATTATTGTTGTCAATATCCAAATATATATATATTAATCTGACCTTAACTCTGAGAGCTATTTACCATTTTATTATGAGATTTTTAAATCGGGTTGCATTCTCCTTTTTGTTTACTTTCTGCATTTTTGAAGATTGTTTTCTATCTCAACAGGGCATTCTTTAATGAAGAAACGTTAGAGCTGATTAACACACTGCATCACAGGAGATTCCAGTGAAGAACATGGCTTCCTCTTGGAAACTAATCCTGTTTCTGTCAGTCGCTGGGTGTCTTTCAGGTAAAAATCCTGCTTTCTGTATCAGATAATGAACATACATAAAAGCCTCCATTACATGTCTTCAGGTGTTCTTTTAAATATATTAATATTCATACTTTCAACAAAAGGAAAACAGCCCTTAAACTTTTGTTAGGTTGCAAAGAGTCATATACAACTCTTAATAAGATACTTAGAAAAATGCTATATACATGTTAATAAGATGAATAGCCACCTCATGTCATTGATTTTCACTTATAATATAAATCATTGTTAGCCTCCAGAATATTTGGTAATATATAGATTTATAATTTGTAGCAGGTAATTATAAAGAAATTTAATTATCATGCTAAATTTCACCATATAAAAGCAGAATCATGCTGGCTCTATTACTCACACACACAATCATTTATGGGCATTTCTAACACAACTTATTTTTTCATTGTCTTGGCTTCTCTAACTTTGTTTTGATCAATTTTATTGTTCTAGATTTTAGATCTAAAGTGAGAAATTTTATTCTGCAAAAGTAGTTTATGGTTTTTGGGGAGTGATACTATCATAAAGCTAAGAATTAATATGCCAGAAGCTTTTTGTTTAAATTGAAGAATTTCTGCTGGCACTGGTTTGGCTCAGTTGATAGAGCGTCAGCCTGTGGACTGAAAGGTCCCGGGTTTGATTCTGGACAAGGGCATGTACCTTGGTTGCGGGCACATCTCCAGTAGGGAGTGTGCAAGAGGCAGCTGGTCGATGTTTCTCTCTCATCGACATTTCTAACTCTCTGTCCCTCTCAATTCCTCTCTGTGAAAAATCAATAAAATATATATTTTTTTAAAAATTGAAGAATTTCTATAAATTATATTGTAGTGATGATTACAATGCTATACATGTAACATTCCAGTGACTAGATTTAACTCAGTGGCTGTGACCTTTTATTAAGTACTACCAATGTAACTTCAACTACGTATGATGGGTGATTCTCTTTAAAGCCAACAAGTCATCCTCAATTTAGGTTGGGCTCAAAACTTTGTTTGAAATTCAAAGGAATATGTTTATATACAGATATAAATATAGTATTTCAGTCATAATACATGCATGTTATATGTTTAAATGTACATATTTACATTCATTTCAGGCTTTTAAAATATAGATAAAACCTCTTTCATGTTGAAATACTAGTAATTAACTATAAAAACAACAAAAGAGTATTAATACATTGTTATTATATATGAGCACCATTTCTTCCAGGAAAATAACAGGTTTAAGAAGAGACATGAAAGGTAAGGTAAGACCTCTATAAAATGTTGATAGAGCAACTGTGAAAAATAAGTAAATACCTTTAGAGATATTTAAAGTTAAATGAAAACCCTTGTATATTAATATTACAGTTGCATAAAAAAATAAAAAGAGACTTCAAACATTTTATCCTATTTAGGTTCTTTCTGTGCATTTTTATGATCTTCCCAGCTGATCTAGTCTATTTTTCTTCTACCTTTCCAATGTTATTTATCTTTTGTACTCCTAAACTAATTGAAGGGAATGAAGATAGGCTGTGAGATAAAATAAAGGATGCCTAGTTAGGTTTCAATTTTAATAAACAAGTTAATTTTTTTAATTTTTGTTTCAGTATGTTCCATGCAACATTTTATTTTATTTAAAATTTAAATGTAACGCAGGTGTCCAGTGTTTTTATTTATTAATCTGGCAATACTTGGTGGAAAGAGAGTATTGCTTTGTAAAATCACTCCAAAGCTTTATTTTCTTGTATTGGTCCAACATTATTCCCCCAGACCATTTATCTGGGAGGTAAATCTCAAAGGAGAGATTATCCTGTGGTTGTGCAAAGATGAAAATATTTGGCCTGATAATTTCTATGCTTCCAACTCATTGGGGAACTAAAATGCTGTTCTTTTCATAGAGTAAAATGACACATTTGAATGTAGGAATATGAATTTGAGTTTAGAGGTAAGTTACTACTTAAATATTGTAGACAAATCTGGTAAAAAGTTGAAAACAAATGACATTTCTCAGTTTTATATGAAATTTGATTTTTAAGCACCTGTATTTAGTATTAAGCATCTATAAGTTATTTAATAAGAACTGATTAATTTCTTCTCTGCTGTAGATATCTGTTTATAATTGATACTTGAAAGAATCCATTTTCAAGGATGATTATATTCAAAACTTTCCCTTTCCCTTTATATTTTAATAAATTATTCTGGAGGTACAGAATAATTTACTTTTACTCTTGTTACTTGTTAATTCTTACCTTCAATATTTACTTTATAATTTAGCATCTTATGCTGTAGTTTTCTGTAGTTACTGCCTTTATTTATCTATGAGTGTCATATTAGAGGACCTGTTTAGCACATTGACTTGATTACTTCTACGAAAATGGGGGAAATGAAACTATAGGGCATGAGCATATTTTATGTGTTGCTGCTCTTTGAACCAGCAAAACCTATTAAAGAAATAAGAGATGGCTGCATCTCCAATTTGTTTTATTTATTTATTTTAATTAATTATTTAATTAATTAATTTTTCATTGCTCTTTAGAGAGCGTAGAAGGGAGGCAGGGGGAGGAGAGAGAGAAAGATATTGATGTGATAGAGGCACATCAATCGGTTGCCTCTCACAGAATTCTTAACCAAAGGTGGGAAGTGAACCCATAACCCACATAAGTGCCCTTGACTGGGAATTGAACCTGAGATCCTTCAGTGCACAGGCCTATCTTCTAACCATTTAGTGATCCTGGCCAATGCTATTTTTTTCATTTCTTAATGGATGGATTATCTTGGGTGTTTATAACTAGGAAACATAGCACTGTGTTTAAAAATTGGCTGAGAGCCATAAAAGGCTGACAGATGTCACAGGAATATACAAACTCATATTAACAATGTTCTCAATCAAAACAACGAGATACCACTGCATATATCAGAATGGCTAAGATTTAGAAAAACAAACCAGTAAAGACAATGCCAATTGCTGGTGAGGATGCAGAAAACAGCAATGTTTACTTATGGCTGGAAGAAAAAGTGGTGCGGCCACTTTGGAAGGGGATTGTGCAATGCTTGCAAAGCTAAACAGTCTTTCCAAATAGTTAAACAATTGGACTCCTAAGCATGTACCTACCTGATTACATTTTATTTTTATACACACATTTTTATTGCGATAAAATACACATAATGCAAACTTTACAATTTTAACCATATTAAGTGTATACTTCAGTGGAATAAGAACACAGTGTTGTCCAAACATCACCGCTGTCTATCTCCAGACAGTTTCATCATCCCAAATAGAAACTGCGTACCCATTGAATGATAACTTCTTATCTTCCTCTTTCTCCCCCCCCCCCTCCACTCACCCCCAACTCCTGGTAACTTCTATTCTAGTACTTTGTACCTTTATTCTACTATTTGCCTCTTCTGGGTACTTTATATAAATGAAATTATACAAAACTAGAGGCCCAGTGGGGTTCCTTAGCCTGGCCTGTGCTCTCTCACAATCCACGAGGAGCCCTTGGGAGATGTCTGACAGATGGCTTAGGCCCAGTGCTGGGAACAGGCCTAAACTGTCAGTCAGACATTCTTAGTGCTGCAGCAAAAGCAGGAGAGGCTCCAGCCACAGCCGCTGTGCTTCCAGCCATGAGCTAAGTCCATGGCTTCTGGATGAAAAGCGCCTCCCTCTGTGGGAGCACACTGACCACCAGGTGGCAGCACCTACATTGAGCATCTGCCCCCTGGTAGTCAGCACACATCATAGCAACTGGTTGTTCTGCTGGTCGGTCGATTTGCATATGAGCCTTTGATTATATAGGATTGGTTCTTTTTTTTTTTTTTTAAATATATTTTATTGACTTTTTACAGAGAGGATGAGAGAGGTATAGAGAGTTAGAAACATTGATGAGAGAGAAACATCGATCAGCTGCCTCCTACACACTCCCCACTGGGTAAGTGTAGGATTAGTTCTTTAAAACTTCTGCTCACACAAAATACCTGCACGTAAATGTTTTTAGGAGTTTTATGAATAATCACCCAAAACTAGATAACAAAAGAGATGTCCTTTTGCAAGTAAATGGATAAGTAAACTATGAAAATGTCATACATTGTAGTACTTTTCAGTGATAAATAATAATGAACTATTACACCATGCAAAAACATGGGTGAATTCTAATATTCACATTGTCCAATGAAATAAAGCCATCTGAATAGACCATATGCTGCATGGTTCTATTTATATGATCTTTTGAAAAGGGCACAATTTTTTTACAGAGAAGAGAGAAGGATAGAGAGTTAGAAAAATGGATGAGAGAGAATCATCGATCAGCTGCCTCTTGCATACCCCCTACTGGGGATTTGCCTGCAACCAAGGTACATGCCCTTGACCGGAATCGAACCCGGGACCCTTCAGTCCACAGACTGATGCTCTATCCACTGAGCCAAACCGGTTTCAGCTGTGCTTTCTTCTTAACTTCTCTAGTGATAGGACTTCCATTCAGCCGGCTTCTGGTGGTTCTGGATGATGGCTGCTCTGTATTTTAGTTGTAATTTTTATGTGGTTGTGGGAGGGGATGAGTACAGGTGTTTATTCTGCCATGTAAGTTCTCCTCTAGAATATTTAATCATCAAAACTAAGTCTATTTATATCTCTTCTAAATTTGAAAAAATCCTAACTAAATTTAGAAATCTTAGAATTAAAAATGATTTTGAAATCTGTGTGGCCCAATTTCTTATCCTTGGGCAAGTAGAATACCATTTGTTTTCAATAGAGATGGCACTTTGGGAGGTTCTATTACATGTTCCATGTCACAGAGATGGTAACTAGCAAAGAAGAATGTCTGTGTCATATAGAAATCCTCCCGACATACCAGGCAACATGAAGGTGAGATAAGAGAGCAATCCAGTTGCTCAGAGATGCGTGACCTCCTTCTTAGATAAGTGCATCTAGTTACTTTCCCCTGAGTTACTTTCACATGTTTCTGAAGTAAGCTGTATTGCTTTAAAAACACCAAATAACAGCAAAAACCA